TCTCCAACCACTGGAAAAACAAAAACGAAAGAAAAGAGAGAGGTTGAGGGACAACTAGGTCAGGGGGGGGTGGGAGACGGGCGATTGTGCAAAGAAACACGGCAAGGAACAAGGTCCCTAATAAGTATTTCTCCCACAAAGCAAGCCGTGTACACTCCCAACGAAGGCTGGGGCCGTAATGATGAGAGAGAGGTTGGTGAGATTCAAAAGAAAGAGGGCAGCGTGTGTGTCGGTCCAGTCGAGTGGGAAGAAGTGGTTGGGACGAAAGAGTTTATACGTCCAGAAAAGCAACCTCCCGTCTTGTCCGTCCCTCCTCGTCGCATTCGTGTAATAGACTCTCAAACGGAACAACAACAAAAAACGAACATGATGGCATCATTCGTTTCTCTTCCCCATATGGACTCGAGGCGGCCAGCCTCCCCTGTCAGTGGCATGGGGAGCGGAGGGACCAGCGCAGCTCCGCAGGAGACTGGGCTTTTCTCCCGAGATGCACAGACGCTTTTTTGTTCTTCCCAGCAAGGAAATTCCTTGAAAAAATTAGGAAGAAAAAAATACGAATGGAAATTCCCCGTAGCTTGGAGGAGGGGTGGGAAAAGAGATGGTTTGTAGCTTGTAGGCCGGCAGAGAGGGCCGTTGGAGCCACCTCGGCAGCCCTCATGCACCATGATGTATGATCATGTATCTCGATCCGACGAACTGCTGAGACAAAATGTACAAGACTCACTTGTAGTCTTTTAGAAGTCCGGCTGCATGAGGAAGTACGTTTCTCATTTTTCCTCTTTTTTTTTTGTCCCTTGTTTTTTGTTGTTGTTGTTGTCTGCCCAGCCATTTGAAACACCCCGAGAAAGCTTAAACCTACGCAAAAATGGAAACCCTCTTTTGTTCGCGCACAATGCCCGTTTGTTGTTGCCAGAAAAGACGAGACATCAGGAGCTGCCACACCTTTTTTTTCCTGCGGTGACATCTCTCTCTCTCTCTTCTCTCTCTTTTTTTTCTTTTCTTTTTTTCTTGCAATAAATTTATTCCCGTCGTCGTAGAGACAAAGTCGGACGGCCAGGCCACCACCCCTCCCCCTCCTACTCCTCAAGTGCTCCTTCCCGGTCCACGCCGCACGGCCTTGCATATGTATGGACGTCCATGTCGGGGACACGAGGTTTCTGATACATGACGTGCCACCTCCAAGTAGGCACGGGCAGACGCTTGGATGACGAGCAGGGCGCGAGTACACATGTACCGTGTTCGGCTGCATCGGGTCCTTGTCGATTGTCTGCACAGGAACACAAATGCCTGTTGCATCGCCGGCGGGCCGGCCGATCTTGGGCATAAATCAGCCCTACCTGCGTGCTGCACCGCTCAGCCCACGTATCCCCGTCGATACGTGATTTCTGGGCCGCAGCCGCCTCTCCAAAACGGCACATACGATAAGCGCGCCCAAGTACATACGGAGTAGTACTAGTTAGTACTCCGTAGTCAGTCAGTCCATCACGGCCCCAGTGGCGGGTGCTTGAGTGTTTGAGCGCGTGGCTGGGCAACAAAAATAACCAGACCAGACAAACAAACTTTGGCCCTCTGCTTCCTTCATTTTCATCAGTCTCGAGGCCACGAAACAACGAACCCAACCTAAAAAAAGGCCGCGCTCCCGTCCCTGCCCGTCCCTGCCGCGCGGGCGGGCCAACAATGGAAAACAAGCAGACAAAACAAAACAATGCCGCAAATCGCCAAGATCCACGACCACCAGCGTCATTGCAACCATCACACCAGCACCATCCTACTCCGTACTTCCCATCCATCAATCCGGCTTCCCGCATGTTACGCCACGCATGCGCAAGTAGCCAACCTCGTATTTTTGACCGCCTTCCACCACCATCACGGAACGGTTGGCCGGCCGAGAAGCTCTTATTGTTTCATCACCACCACCACCAAGCTTTGTTCTCCCCTCTCTCTCGCCCGCCCGCCCCAACCACGTAGTATGACCACGTACAGAGTAGCCAACCAAGGACGACTGATTGTGTGTGATTTGTGATTGGAAATTTCCATCTTGACATTTATTTTATTTCTTTTGCTTGTTTTTTTTTTTTTTGTTCATGTCGTGCTTCATAAAAGTTACCTATGGAGCACCCAGTCAGTCAATTCACTCAGTGAGCGTCTCCATGTATGTCGTCAATGGCTTGCTTGGTCTTGTGCCATGCGTGCGAGGGCAAATCGCTCCGCTTCTGCTTTTGGGGTATGACTTGTGCCAACCACCCCCTTCGTACAAGTATGTATGCGGCATTAGTCGGGCACAGAATCACCGCCAGTCATCATCTTGCTAACCCCGTCTGCCGTCTGAAATCCGCAATCACGGTGCAGAAGCAGAAGCAGAAGCAGCAATTGAGAGGCCGTCCGACGCCAAGTCGTATGCGCCATCGGGACACTCCCGGTCGGCTCCACCGCATCGTGGCGCCACAAAATAATCGACCAACATCATCGACCACGGCCGGACGTCATGGCGAGGAAGGCTGGATGGACATGTGGCTCCCAAGTTGTAGATTGAACATCAGCCGTGTGTACAGTACGCAGTATACAGACTAACACGTCCGTGTCCCGTCAACAGTGGTGGCATAATGATGCTGTATTGCTGTATAGCTGTATAAATGATCGTGATTCGTTAGCCTAATGTCCCCGTCCCTGGTTTGCCGTCGCAAACGCCTGCGAGGCGTCCATACACAAGCTAGCCACCAATAAGGCCCCGTTGAATATAGCCATCATGTAAAACGGCGCTCCCCTCGACACCGAGTCGAACAGCACGCCTCCGAGCTTTGTTAAAAGCAGAATCGCCGCCCCGCCGCACAGTGAGTACACGCCTGCAATAGATCCCTTCAGTCTCACCCGTGAAGCAGAGTCCTCGTTGGTCGACCTGCGCATCAGTGGCTCTGATTCTGCCGATTCGTCTTCGCCTGGTGCAATTGACGGCTCGCGTCGTACTGACCGGGGCAGCTCGACTGCAATCACGCCTTGGCCTAGAGAGCCCAAGCTGCACACGATGGCACCGATCTGGCTGACTCCAATAAGTGCCACCACTAGGAAGATGAAAGGTGTTCCCCCTCTATCATCTATATTCTTGAACTCTGGACTCGACAGCTGTGGTAGCATCAGATATCCCATCATGCCGAATACTGTGGCCACAACAACTGGATAGTTTACTCGACCGGCTCGCCCAGACAGATATCCAAACACTGGCGCACACACCAGTCCCATTAGCTGTGCCACTCCAGTAAGAATTGATGACAGTACGTAAGCTGCACGACACTCCTTCTTCAGCTCCGGTGATGGGTCGTTGGGCGAGCCTTGGCAGAAGCCATTGCTGATGAAGAAGGTGTTGATGTACAACGGGATGAACAGTGAGATAGCTACCGTCGACGCCCTGGCAACAAATCCACCAATGTACCCGAGCGCAATTCTGGAGTCCGCAAATCCCAATAGCACAGAATCCTTCATCAAATGAAGATATGGAATCGTCTTCTAGTGGCCGTTAGTCCAAGCTTGAAGCTTCAAAGATTTCCCTACAGCGTGTTGTAGCATGCATACCTGTCGCTGTGTTCTATCATCGCCATTCTCCCCCAATCTGGCATAAGCATCTCGCTCCGAAATACCAAATAATACCGTCCATCCTTTGCCCTCCTCGCCCTTTAAATTCCGCAAACCTATAAAAACAAACAAAGCAACGGCCAACGACACCGCACCAACCACGTAAAAACTATATGATACTGCCTGACCAGGCGTGACGCCGTCAATATCTCCAAACCTCGCGGGTAGCGGCAGAAACAAGGACAGCGCTACAAGCGCACCACATCCTGTAAATAAGCCAACGAGGCCGGCCAGAGCAGACGGCTTCGCAGACTTGGCCACGGCATCCTGTTGTTGACGAGAATTTCGCGAGTCGTTGGATAATGACCGAGTATAACGTTCCGGGGTAATGGTAGCCTCCGACTCCACAGAAAATGCAACGCTCAATCGCTGGTTGGGCTTGTACCTCGATGGACTCCTACCATCGCTCAAATCTCCCTCATCCGTCAGTGACGGCAAAATAGCCGTAACCATGGTCGCCCTGCATTTCCACCAATAGCCAACCGTTAGCAGGTGTCCAAACCAAAGAAGAGAGGGAGAAGTCTCGGCTCGGCCCATTTATCTCCGACAAGACGCGAGATGGGGGCCAGGGGGGGAGGAGGGTGTTGAACTTACGCCGCCGAGGCTCCTACCGCAAAGAAAATCCGCGCAAGCAGTAGTTGCGGGTAGACATTCTTCGCCTGGACAAACAACACCAGTGCGAGCCCGATAACTGCGTACCCTATGACAGCGACCCATCGGACTCCAAGGCGGTCTGATATCAGTCCCCATGTCGGGCATGCCACCAGGGCAACAATCTCGTCGGCGAAGCCCAAGGTGCCCACGACATCGCCGACGTTCTTCTTCTGGCCTATGAGATCGGTAATGACAAACGATACGGAGCTGTTGAGAAAGACGAGAAACGATATGGAAAAGAGTGAGATGCCAAGAAGGTACGTGACGGCTTGCGCTGTGGTTGCGGATGGTGCAAAGGGCAAGTATCGGGATATCAACGCCATGATTCAGAAAGGCCGTTCTGGATAAACCTCTAGTCGAGAGGCAATGAGAAGAATCACATGGCGTGGGGGGTGGGAATGATGATGCTGGATGAAACTTGTTGTGGGAGGGAGGCCTAGTTGAAGATTATGACGCGCCGAGCATTGTTTGGACGAATGAACCGAGTAATTCTCCGTAATTACAAAAGTACACAGACCCGGAGTCCCTAGTTCCGAAGGTGGTCTTGAGCGGTTGATTACATAATCCCGGCAGTTGAACTGGCATGTCCGCCACATGACCGACACATGTCGTCAAAGCAACGGGATCGAAATGGTAAAAAGTGAAATCAACCAGTTGTCTTGGATGTGATGCGCATCACTCGCTCGGAGAGTATTGTGATATTTACGGAGTAGTCGCTATCAGTCTGACACCGCCGATATGCGTCGATTCGGCAAAAGACCTGGTCGCCCGGCTTGAACGAGGACGAGGACGAGGACGAGGACCCGGAGCCGTCCTGGACAACGGTGCCCGACATGTCCTGCCCCGGCACGGGCTCCTTGTCGGGCGCGAAGAACCGCGGGTTCTGGCTGGCCCAGGTGAGCTCGCTGTAGCACAGCGCCGTGGCTGCAACCTCGACCAGCACGTTCGGCGGGCTGAGAGGGCACAGGAACCGAGGTCTGGGCGAGCGCGAGTTCCGGTGTCAGCTTGTCCCGCTGGCGAACTGTGTGTATGGATGCGGGCGGGTTGGGCTGGGTCATGGTGATATGGATGCGAGTCGCTCTGAATTGTTTGGTAGTAGTTGGACTTGGTCTTGGACCTTGCTTCTTCTCAATCAACATTGAAATGAGTACTCCGTAGACCGAGGTCATATAAATATCTATAGCTGTCGAGCCATACATGGCTGGGTGTAGTCCTCTCCATAGTCATCAAGCGTGAATGTCAATATCAACAAACAGAAGTTAGAAGAGCGAGTGGCGCTCCTGGAAATAAGCCAACCTTACACTGAAGCATCTTGGGTTCGTGTATAATCGGATGCGCTGACAAGACCGAGGTCCGATAGATGGGAAAACAGCAACCCCGGCTCAATCGCTTTACGATTCTTCTATCCGCCCCTGCTTGAGGGTAAGTTACAGCATGTTACACCTTAAAGTGCTGTTTTGCACCATGTAGCAAATCAAGTATGGTATGGAGTTATATAGACCAGATGGGAAACCCTCCTCTATCTAAGCAACTGCAATCGTGTTAAGCATCCCTATTTGAACGCTGCCTCATATACCTACCTGGTGTATTCAATGTTCCGAATTATTCATAGTCCCTGAACTCCCAAAAGCCGACTTTTCCTCATCCCAGTCGCAAAACAGTACATTTGCCCCAGCCTACCAAGCCCAAAGTACCTTGTGGTGAAGGGTCCTTGCACCCAATCGCTCGAATTCAAAGGGAGTGATCCACGAGTCGTTCGTCGAAAGCTTGGCAAATACACTGGCTCCCTTCCAAGCGACGACTTGCTCATCCATATCCCTGGCACTTCTGCTCACCAAGATCCTGTCATACAAATCTGGCCGTCTGGCCTTGATTTTCTCTTCCAAGACCACCGTGAATTGGGGAATCTTTGAACCGCCTCCAATAACCATGATGCTGCCCAACAAGTCACGAAGTTTCTTATCATCGCCCTTGGCTGCGTTTTGGATACTGGTCAGAATTGCGATATCGAGAGGGGCCATGGGAAGAACGCCATCTCTTTCAACAGCGATGTCAGTCGCGCTCCGCGCATTAGAGTCCACAAACATGCCAGACGGCGCTTGTGAGTACTGAGACTGTTGTCCGGGGACCGGCGTACCCGTAGCACGAGAGCCACTTGGAGCAGGGCTGTCTACGTTTAGGGCTTCCTTTCCAGCTCCAAAGATGTAGGGCGCTGGGGTCCCATTTCCCTCGGGAGCTGGAGAGCCAGCATGAGAGCCACCCGGCGTACCATTTACTCCATTCTCACCCCTGCCGAGAAAGTTGAATGGCTGAGATCGTTCTTTGCTAGGCGTCGAAACTTCTAGTTGCGACTGAGACTGTGAATGCGACGGGCCGTTGGCAGCTGACATGATCGAGGGTTTCACCAAGGCCAAGACGGCAAGCTGGGCAGCTGAGGTCGGATCGTCAGGGATTTCAACATCATACGCATTATATGAGCGCTCAACCAGTTTCCGTCGTCCTCGAAGCTTGGCGCTATTGTCAAATATTGAGGGGTCAAACACACCCATAGCCGACAGAATGACTTCGTCATAGGTCTTGAAGGTATATTTCCGAGTCGACTGGTTGGGGGCTCGGACGTGAAAGTTGTAAAGCTGCACAGAAATGTCGGCTTGAGACATGGTACAGTGTTTGATCTTCAGCTCCTCGGCCAAGAGGAAGTCGTATCGTCTTTGTAGATTGATGTCCTGATAGGGGAAGTTGTCGTAAAGCATCATCTTGATAAAAGTCTCGGTGATGTCGTACCCGCCATATTTCATGTTAATTCTAGAGTCCTCAATGCAGAGACCATCTTCCACACAAGTGACTGACGTCTTCTGTGCGCCAACATCTACAACGCAAGCCTGGGTATACCCGGCACCAAAAGTAGCCGCAATGCCCTCCTGAACGAAACAAACCTTGTTGAATTCGAACCAAGTCATACAAGATCGCAAAATTTGCTCGACATACTTCTTGTCGTAAAGATCAGGGATGACAAACACACAACTGTATTGTTGCCACTCGCTGTTGGTAGTCAAGCCGAGTTCTTGACGAAGTGCCTTGTCCAGTAACGTCTCAAAGTCATCGTACAGGTGCTCCTGGCTGGAATACTCGTCCTCGTTCCACCACCCATAACGTAACGGCCACCAGAGTTTGAACTTGGGATCTGAGTCATCCGGCACACGGAGGGCATCGTTTCCAATGAAGCAAGAGGCTAGCGAATCGGGGTCTTCGAGGGTCTTGACGTCGGTCCACTCTATCTCCAAGGGGTCGTTGTGTTTCTCGATAATTTCTGGCTCCGTGCGCCGATTAAAAGTTTGGACCAATTCCTTAGAATTTGGCAAAACTTTTCTCTTGTTGGCGCGCATCTCAGACTTCAATTCGCTGCACATTTTTGAATACTTTTTGGACCACTCTTCGCCGTACTGCTGATCGGTCGTCTTGGCCTCGAACTGGCGTCGTGGCAGGGCCTCGTACATCTCAGCCTCTGTCTGCGGAAATTTCGTTGCCAATGTGGTTGGAATCGTCCTGGGGAGAGCATCGCTGGCGAAACCTATCCGGAGGTTCTGGCTGCCGGGGTGGATGACGATGATGCGCGATGGATCAACACCACCAGATGGTGTCGCAGCGCCATCTTCCTCTGTCAGATCGGGAACAGGCAGGGGAAGCTCGCCATTTGCAGGCTTGGACAGGAGGCGATCGCGGTCTCTGGCGCCTTGGACAAGTCGGTCGCGGGTCGCATCGTTCTGAAGACGCAGGGCTAGAACTTGATCATCCCGCTTCATGTAGTCGCTAATGAATGTCAGCACGGGCTGTTTTCGATATAGACACTCGAGTCAGACTCACGTATAGTAGTTCTTCTGGTTAATTGGGGCGACATCCGGCCAGGTTGTGAGCTTCATGCCATTATCAGTTCTCTCCAACCCTTGCATAGAAAGTCAGTAAACCAACACGTCGCCGCAAGTACACACAGGTATGCATGCTTCTTGAGAAAGGACTTACCCTCCCTGAGGAGAACTCTCTCGGACACCTTTCCGACCATTTTGATATCTTTGCCCTTGCCGAGGCACACCAGCCAGTTGGTGGGGTTGTATTGATGCGATGAAGAGGCAATCGAGATCAGTGGTTTGACCAAGACTCGAGGCTCAAAGGGTTCGAATGGCCGCGAATTTCCCGACGCGCACTTGAAGACTTCATGTTGGTGGTGCCAATGTCACAGCGTTGACACCACTGGCGGGTGGGTCCTACTGCTGCCCCCCAAGTGCTGGGAGTGTGTTCTCCATGTACCCCGGCCAAATGTTTATCCGGCGGTTGGCGTGTGCTAATCGCAGTCTGGTGCGCCTCTAAACCTTCCCCAGCTTCTCCAAAAAGTCAACCCTGAGGTCGAGGAAGAGTCAGAAAGACAACAGAAGCATCATGTTTCCTAATAAACAAGGCAATATTGCCCTCTATCATCTGAACCCTACATAAATTGGTCTATTTTTAACCGCCATCTCTCGTCAACGGGACCGTGGAGTGAATCGACCCCGTTTTGCCCGATTTTGTAGTTTTACTTCATATATACCCTTCCTACGCAGGTCAATGATTGTGCGCCAATCGTGAATCCACTACCTTCAGCATAATCTTACGACAATGGCATTCAATTTGACCGTCTCAAGCTTCTACCATCAAGTTGCTGACCATGGGTCTTTTCGTGTTCTTTCATGGGGCCAAATCTCGCTAATCGCATTTGTGTCCTATGTCTCACTCTGTTCATTTCTTCGTTTTCGGCGCGTCAACAAGCTACGCCAACGATATCCCTACCCGGATCGTGCATCCCTAGCGCAAATGACGAGCGAGGAAGCCCAGGTTATTGTGCAAAATATCTGTTCATACGAGTTTCCCTACTTTTTTGACCTTTCGCAACAATATGCGTTATTCAGGGTAGGTCAATTCTCTCCCCTGCAGGCGACGTTACATCGCAGTATTTTCTAATGAATTGGGCAGACCTACGCAGTGGAAAATATAGCCAAGCTGCTTGTTTCCGTAAGTGACCTGAACAAGTCTGACCAATCTCCAAAGCGGTAAGTTTCTATTTTGACCGACCCATTCATCGCATTATCATCTGGCATTTTGACGATGCTGACTGTTGGCAGATACGAAGACACTGAAATCATATTTGTTTGGTACGGTATTTACACCCGATACTCTGTCTCATGTTCATGTTAACTAACAAGTCCTCACGTCAATTTATTGCAGCTTTGCCCACTATGCTCCAACTTCGTCGATGCTTCGGAAGGCGGTAGCACGCATGAACTACCTACATGCTCCATATATTAAGTCAGGAAGGATTCTGAATAAAGACCTCCTCTACGTTCTTTCTACTGCCATGTCGGAACCCGAGAGGTTCATGCGTCTATACGAATGGAGACCGCTTTTGGAAATGGAAGTTGCCGCAGTCGCCTCAGTTTGGAAATACGTAGGAGACTTGATGGAGATTGACTATGAAGCAGAGCTCGGTAAAAACCAGTGGAGAGATGCAATCGAGTTCCTGGACGACGTTTCACAATGGGCAAGCAAATACGAAGAGCAGTACATGCGGCCGATGGACGAGTTTGCGCAACTGGGATCTGTTCTGATGGACTTGCTGTTGTCTGCCTACCCTAGAGCTTTACGGCCCCTGGGGTATCAGATCGTGATGGTGTTGATGGGCGCGAGGATGCGATATGCTTTCCGGCAAGTCAGCAATCACAAAGCTTCTCAGACTTATTATTATACGTCCAAGATCTGCATTCTAACTTGTTTTCTTGACCCAGTTTCCCCGAGCCTGGTGTCGCCGTGTGCGCGCTCACTTACACACTTCTCCTGCTACGGAAACTTTTCCTCCGATATCTCTCGCTGCCCAGATTCTCTCGTGTAGTTTTTGTTACCGAACCGGATCCGACAAGCAAACGAATGAAGCACCTCCATTACTTGAAGGAGCCGTGGTATACACCGGCGACTTTCTGGTGGCGCTGGGGACCAACTGCCTGGGCCACGTGGGCCGCGGGAGGCATGGTCC